GGCAGTAGATAGATATATAGATAGAGAGGTAGATCGCCTGGCGCAGCACAGGGATAGGGACCTCTGAACCCCCAGCTTTTGGTTTGACACCGTCGATGTTGGGCTTTGCAAAGCAATGCCGTTCGGCCATTTCTCCTAACCCGAACCCAACAAAAAGCCACAGGCTTCCATAATGGGTCCGTGTAGGGGTCTTTCTAGGGTTCTGTAATGTGGTCTCCTGTGAGGGTACTGTAGGCTTCTATAATGTGGTCCCCTGTTAAGGGTACTATAAGCGCAGAGGAAAATCCCAGAACAGGTCTGCTTAGGAACTCAAGGAGAGCACCTTGGATAATCCGCCGCCGAGGATTTCAACCCACCAAACCCTCCTGTAGAAACCAATGTATTCAACCCCGCATCCCCCTTCCTTCAGGGGCCTGAGCCCTAAACCTCGACCCTTGAATCAAAACCCACCCCCAAATGGCACAAACTATCCTAAACCCTAAATCCTGGACCCTGGACCTTGAACCCTAAACCCCTTAACCTTGTACTGGAAACCCTGAACAAGCTTAATAGTGGAAGATCCACGGAGCGAAGCGAAGTAATGTTTATCCTGGCTTAGCGAAGCTGAAAGCGAAGCGAACTTGCAGTTGTCTTGTTTAAATCTATTTCACACTGAGCTCTTGTACTCAGGGCCATGACACGATCTTTCTCTTTGATGCTGATTTTGCACCCATGATTTTTCCTGCATGTGTTTCAGAAAGCGAGATTTTTGAATTCTTGTCCGCGCCGGTGGAGGGCTCAATCGCTTGAGCTGAGGAAAATGCCGGCGCTCTGCTGGGCCTCCTGGAGTCCGTTGCCCCCAGCACTCCTCCTGCTGCCCTTCAGGGCGGCGCTGGCCGTGAGGATGCTCTGCGGTCGCGACTTGCGCCCCTGCAGGAATGCATCAATGATCTGGAGCTGGCGCACGCCCGCTTGCAGAGGCTTGCTACCATGCAGGCCGCGGCCTTGGAGGACTTCACCCAGAAATGGGCTGCTCTGAAAGAAGTGGTCGCTCGCCTTGCTGACGGCCGCGATGATCAGCCGGTGCCTCTGGGTTTCGCGCGAGGCCGCAGTCGCTCCCCGCGGCGCTGACGTCTTCGAGTTTGCCCTGGGGAAAGTTGTGATCCTCCTTCTGCACTTGCGTCCTAGAAGGTTGCAGGTGCTTAATTTTGGGGCCTAGCTGGTAGCTTGTTCAGCAGGGCCGCTGGCAAAATTTCGTCAAGAGTGCTCAGACTTTCCCGTGCTTGCCTGTAGTTCATACCAGCCTTGCTGTGTGCAGCCGCTGTGCCTTGAGTTGCCGCCTCGCTTGGGATCCACAGGTTAGCTTCTTGTACGGGGGATGTCTGCTGAAGCTTTATACCCGGGGGCCGTCCGGCTGAGCATGGAGTCGAGGATGACATCTCGCCGCTCGGAATACCTGCTAGTCCCATCAGCCCGAAGTCGCAAGTGCAGGGTCTTGAGGAAGATCCCCAAGGCGAGGGGCCTCTCACTCAGGCCCAGGTGGGGGGCCTCATGGCTCGAAGCGATTGCTCGGACTCCGAAGGAGGGGCTGAGCAGCAGGTGGAGAAGCAGCTTGAGGGATACATGCCTTTTTCCACCGGGCCAGGAGAGTGGCACGCTATGAATGCGGGTTTGGTTTTGGCTAGGAATGCTTCAACGCCCATGCCCTGGGATAGACAAGTCAGGCCTCGTGTCCGTGTGGGCAGCATCTTCCAGGAGCCGTTGCTTGGCAGGTTTGATGGCCTCAGGAGGGTGAGCCTTCCAGCATCGGAGGCCGGGCCCTGGGCATGGGTGCCCAAAGGCACGTACGAGGCTCGGAGGTTGCTGGCTGCGAGGTTTGCGAAGAGTGATGACATGCTCCGGTTGGCAGCTCTTAAGAAGATCCGCTTGATTGTTCTTTTCTTTCCGGATGACTCGGAGCTGGGGCGAAATCTCATTAGCTCTGCAGGGTCACTGGTTGAGGAGACAGTGCTCGCTTCGACAATCGAGGACACTTTTGCGGGCCGAGCGGCTGGCACCATGATGAAGAGGGCCTCCGACTTTTCTCGATTCGCAAAGTGGATTGTTGCGAACAAGGGCAGGCCGCTGGCTCCCACAGAAGGAGAGTTGTATGCATACATGCTTCATCTGAGGAGGTCAAAGGCGGGGGCGACGGCCGGGGAGTCTTTCATCAAGGCTCTCAGGTTTTTCACGCATTTGACTGGTGCGGCCAATGCCTCGAGAGTGTCGCCGCGCGTGGAGGGCGCGGCGAAGGCCATGTCTATGTGCAAGAGGCCACTTTGGCAAGCTCCTGCCCTACCTGTGGAAGCAGTGAGGCTGATCGAGGACTATGTCCACGAAGAGCTTGACCCCGGAAAAGCTGCAATAGGAGGCTTCATCCTTTTCTGTCTTTACTCCTCATCGCGGTGGTCAGATGCTGCGCGCGGGGATCAGACTTAAGAGTTGACATAGCAGGGAATGGCCTTGTTCTCCTCGAGTGCTCCACTAAGCATTACAAAACCAAGGCGAAGGACCGGAAGGATGCAGTCCTTCCCCTCATTGCTTTAGGAACTTGCTTGACTCAACCTTCTTGGGGTCGTGCCTGGATGCGGAAGAGGCAGCTAGCTGGGCTTCAGGACAGTACGTGCTTGATGCCCGCCATGTCACCAGGAGGACAATTCCTGCAGAGGCCCATGACTGCTGCCGAGGGCTCGTTGTGGTTGAGGGAGATTCTGCACACGCAGGGCTTCAAAGGCGACCTTGAACAGTACAGTTCGCACAGCCTTAAAGCAACGGCACTCTCCTGGACAGCCAAGAGCGGGACCATGACATACGAGGAGCGCCTCACCCAGGGTCACCATTGCAGCCCCAAGCATGGCATGGCTTTGCTGTACTCCAGGGATGCGCTGGCTGAGATTCTCACCAAGGTGGCCAGGGTAGTCAGTGCAATTGGGCGGGGAGTGATGAACCCTGATTTGCCCCGCGCTGAGAGAATAGCCCAAGCATTGGAGGTCAGTGCCGAGGACTATCGACATCTTCCGGAAACCAAGCCGGATGAGCTTCCAGCTGAGGACCCGCTGGACGAGAACGTTTCCGAGGCGGGCTCTGATGTCACCAACTTGGAGGACCTTGAGGCAGAGCTAGGACCATCTGCGCCAGAGTCAGTGCGGCCTCGAGTATCTTGCGTTCTGAGTGGCGCAACTTACATTCACATTCTGAGCGGAGTGGTGCACCAGCTTGCCAGCCCCGGAGTTTTGAAATGTGGTAGAAAGGTGACTGCAAACATGCGGGCAATGAGGCCTGAGGAGGCCCAAGATACTGTTTGCCAGCAGTGTGCCGCGTGACACAAGCGTGGGCAGCAGCTACGAAAAAGGCTCATGGAACTTTGAGCTAAGCTGCGGGGAGTCTTGTAACCTTACACGACGAGTTGAGCGCATTTTTGCTGTGCGCAAACACGTCTGCGAACATCGTCAGGCCCGCAGTGAGTGCATCGAAATTGATTCAGATACCCGGCCTGGAGCAGACTTTTTGGCTGGCAGCCGGCGGGCAGCTGAAGCTGCCGTTGGAACCTGGCAGCAGGGTCCCCGGTGTCTGCTGGGATTCGCAGAAGAATTTTCGTCTGAATGCGACGCTGAGCTTTCCATTGCAAGAGTGAGAATCCAACTTGTTGTGAGAGAGCCCGGGTGTGATCACCGAGCCGAAAGGAAAAACGAAAGCACTCGGGCAGTGAGATCCTGCCTGAGCCGGCGGGCTGAGTTTCGCCCGCCGCTGATGACCTCCCGCTGTGGCGCGGGCGCTGTTGGGAATGCAGCTACGAACTGGAGTGTCTCTCGAGAGAGAAATGTGTGAGGGAACGCAATTAGAACTTGGCCTTGCGGTTGAGTGCGCCGCGGGCGAGATCCTACGTTGGTTTGGGAATGCATGCTCTGCCCAGGTCGTCATGGCTGGCCTCGAATCGGTGCCTGCCTTCACTGAGCGGGCGAAGCAGATCGGGATCAGCGAGGAGCTCCTGAAGAAGTTCGTCGACAAGAACTTGGATACCTACGGGAAGCTGGCAGTCATATGCAGCAGCCGGCCAAGCTCAGGTGACGACAAGGCTTTGTTCGATTCCATCAAAGAGCTTATAGGGTCGGAAGTTCCGGTGGAGCAGCAGTCCATAGTGCGGCGACTTTGATATGAAGCGCACTCTCATGCCTTAGTGGATTTGGAGGCACGGGCTTCCCGAACTGGAGAGTCCAGCCCGAGAGAAATGCCACTGGCCGAGCGCCTCACGAGGCTCAAGCGCCAACGAGGCGAGCTCAAAGGGCTAGAGCTCGACGTGCACACCGAGCCGGGGCACGCACTAGTGGATCGAGTACAGGCGATGCTCGACAGCGCTCAGGTGCTGCACATCGCCCCGGAGAAGTGCATCTCCAGACATGACGAGATCCTGGGTGACAAATCGGAGCAGAAGCTGTCCTTGGGTGCCGATGGCAATATCAAGATTACGAAGCAGGCTTCATCGCTTCGCTGCGAGACCACAGGCGAGCTAAAGCTCAGGCGCTGCTTCCTCAGGCGGGCGCTGGCTTTCGATCAGGTGGGGCTTGCAAGCTTCACCACCATGGAATCGTGGCACAACAAGATGTTTCAAGCCTTGCGTGATGCGCCGCCGGCAGGGTATCGCTACACAACCGTGCAGCAGGTTTTGGCTGCTGACCAAAAGCTATGGCAAGTGGTGGCCCAGGAAAGCCGGGGCGACATCTCCATAAGTGTTGGCCTTCCAGCTCCGCTTGATAAGCACATCGTCGCGGCCTCGAGCAATCAGTTCGTCATGTCGTGCTTGACTCACCTCCCCAAGCCGCCCCAAGCCCCCATGCAAACATGGAGGCCGCACAAGGGAGGCAAGGGCGACAAGGGTGAAAACAGCAAAGGAGGCAAAGGCGGCAAAGGTAAGAACAAGGGCGGCAAAAACAATCAGTCAAATGCTGAGTCGAGCCCCAACACATCGCTGAAAGAGCTGCTCGACAGCCTCCCGGAAGGTTGTGTGCGCGTCACCGAGGAAGGTCGTTTCATATGCCCGTTCTATAACAAGGGCATCTGCCGTTTTCAGAAGGGCAAATCTTGCCGCTTTGGGAAACACGTGTGCAACTTCAAAGGCTGTGGTGCCGAGAAACCCTACATAGAGTGCCGGCATTGACTATGCAGCCCCGCGGCCGCCAATGACAGTTCTCCAAATTTGAATTCAGGAGTGGATTGTGGCCCTGAAGCCGTCGCGAAAAGCCTTGTGCAGCAGAGTCATCCCATAACGGCTGCCCAATTGGTAGATCTGTTTGATGCTTTGCCGCATGACGAGTGTGATCGCGACGCTGCGGGTGTCTCTTTCTCGGCGGGGCTCTATGCCAGAGTCAAGGTAGGTCTTCGCAAGGCCTGCAAGCTTTTTCCATGGACAGTGCAGGCTGTGAACAGGTTTGTAGCCTCTTTGCTCCGCCAGGCCGTCTACACAAGTTTTGCTTTCTTCTCTGAGGTGCAGACCCGAGAACATCGGGATACGCAGAATTCTTTCTTGCCAAATTATGTCATTCCATTAACAAGCTTCGAAGGGGGCGCGATTACAGTCCATGAGTCCGTGCCGCCAGTGCAACTTCATGTGTCCAAGGGACCCGTGCAATTTTGCGCCAGACATTACAAACATTCGACGGCCCCCTTTCAAGGACGCCGGGTGGTCCTCGTGCTCTTTGCCTTGCAAGCTGCTACGAAGGCCACTTCAGATGATCAGGCCTGCCTTCGCAGATTGGGGTTCCCTTTTGCCATCAGCCGAGCAATTAAACTCGACGACCGTATGCCCATCGGTTTCGGTCCCTCTGGATGAATCCCAGCGAGTTCTTCTTCCGTTGGCCACGCCGTCTGTTTCTGAGGGCTGCAACTCCCTGGATACGCAGGGCCCCTCACAAGCCAAGCCACCTGTGGTGGCCGAATGCCTCACTTCATCCGGGCCGATCTCCGCTGCGGCAATGCTTTTAGGTTGGGATGCTGCGCCGGTAGGCCCTAGGCGTCTCGCTGCAGCCAAGACCCCACTGATTAACTTGGATGTGTCAAACAGTGCTCAGTTGCAAGCTTTGCTCAACTTTGACCGGACTGCCATTGTGGATTGGTGGCATGTACACTTGTTTCTTAAGTCGTGCAGCCGAGCGCGTGGCTCCGCCCCCGCGTGTCGCGACGCTGACAACCTCTTTGGCTGCCAATCCCTGTCCGATTCAGCAGCGGCCCAGGTCCTTCATGATAACCAGCTGTGCCAGGCTGTGACATCCATCCTTTTCCGAGCTTATGAATCCAAGGCCCTGGTTTCTCTCGTTGGGCCGGCCCGCAGCTGGTGTTGGAGTGTGCTGGCCAAGTGTGTCAAAACTCGGGTGCCCTCGGCTTTCGTCGACTGGTACTTCAACCTCGCCGATCAAGAGTTGGATACTTGCATGTACGGCTCTCCTTTCGTGACTTCCCTGCTTGTCAAGGCGAGTGCCCATGCATTCCATGGCTTAAGCTTATCCTGTGATAAGAGCCACTCCCATCGAGCCTGGACGCCTCCCCATTCGACGGTGAATCATTTCTGTGACATGTCTTTACCCAGCCAGCTCTGCCAGGCCTTCTGTGCCAAAGCCACCCAAGCCTGCCTCACCCCTAAGGCCCACAAGCCCGCCGAGCTGCGATGCCGTCGCTTGCGTGCTCAGGTTCGCTCGGCTGCCGCCAACCAGCCTCACTACCTGCCCTCCTTAATCCCGGAGTTCAAGCTTAAGCTTCCCCTTGCCCAGGTCCCAGCCACTGCAGACTTCAAATTGTTGTCTCGGACTCCAGGCTCTGACACGGGGGAACTGGATGAGCCGGAGTCCGCAACCAAAAGGTTTAAGGCTGCGGCTAAGGGTGATGGTAGTCGGGGGTCTAGTGACAGGGATGCTGTTGCCCTTGACATGGCAGGTGTTTACCACACTATGGAAGAACACTTAGAGCTTGCTTGCGCGCTGTCCTGTCCCGCTGACACCAGTGAGCGGGTGCCGGACCAACTTAGGAAAAACATCTTCGCTGTGCTTACTGAAGGCCCTGTGTCCATCTCTAAGAAAAGGATGTTAGCCCTTCAGAGCTTGAATGACCAGTTGGCCCAGCTTGAATCAACCGAGAAGGAGCTGCGACAAAAGATGCATCCTGACGTGGATTCGGTGACGAAGGGAAAGGCGCTGTCCCTGTTCAGGCAGCTGCTCGAGGAGACCAAATTTCCTGACTTGTCCGTTCTTGACCTTTTGGAAGGGGGCGTGCCGTTGGTGGGTCAGGAGGTTGAGTCCCCCTTGTTTTCCAAACGGCCGAAGCCTAAGGAAATCGAGCCCGAGCAGCTGAGTGCTCAGGCTGCCCTTCGCCGACAGGCGCTGCAGCGCATGAAAGGCTTGACTTCGGAGCAAGACTATGCTGCCATGAAAGCTGAAACTGCCGAGGAGGTGGCTGCTGGTTTCCTGACAGGTCCTTACCGTTCCGAACGGGAGGTCAGTGATCTGCTACAGACCGATGACTGGTCTCTTTCGCCTCGCTTCCTCTTGAGGCAGGGGGAGGACTCCAAGATCCGGATAATCGACGACTTCAAGATGTCAGCTGTGAACCGTGCATTCGGTTCCTCATCATTCCTGGAGCTGCAGGACACTGATTACGCGGTAGGCCTTTTAAGGTTCCCCTCCCGAGTGCTCCAAGATCGCTCCAAAGTGCGAGTGCCACTCTCGGACGGCACCACCCTTGAGGGCGATTGGTCACGGGAGATGCTCAGCTGCCCTGCCCTCTTGGGGAAGACGCTAGACTTGAGCAAGGCATACCGTCAGGCGGGGATCCATCCTGATTCGAGGGCTCATGCGGTCCTAGGGTTTCCGAGCCCGCAAGGCGACTGGGAATTCTACCTAGCCAAGAGCTTGCCCTTCGGGGCTGCGGCCAGGATTACACAATCTACGAGTTTAAACCAGCTGCTTCTTTGCTTGACAAAGTCTTGATGCGACTGCTTGACCTCCTAGGTTGGACTTATGCCAAGGCAGGGCGAAAATTTGTGGCCTTCGACGCCAAAGTCGTGTCTTTAGGGGTTTCGCTTGGTCTGGGGGAACTCTGGAGCGGGGTTCTCACTGTGGAGAACAAGCCCGGCCGTCTTGAGAAGATTTCGCACATGCTCCGGGCCATCGCATCAGGGAAAGATGTCTCCAGGTCAGAAGTCGCTTCCTTGCATGGCCTGCTCAACTTTGCAGGTGGCTTGATCCTAGGATTCGAGTTGAAGCCCACAGCCAGAATGCTTTCGCGAGCCTTGTCAGGACCTTTCCTTGGCAACACTCCTGAGCTGAAGCAGGCTTGTGCTTCAGCTTTGGACGTCATCGCGCAGTGCCGTCCGAAGAGGTGCCCAGCATCGATTTCCCCGCCGATCATCTTGTATACCGATGGGGCATACGAGAAAGGAATTGGGACTTGGGGAGCGGTCTTGATCGACGAGCTCTCAGGTGCCAGATGGGCCTTTGGGGGCACTGTCGATTCTTCCCTCGTGGCACATTGGAAGCGTGAGGCAGGTGAGCAGGTGATCTGCCAGGTGGAGGCCTTTGCTTTAGCAATAGTCCTTTACGGGATTCGAGGCTCGGTGAAAGGTAGATCGATCCTTGCTTTCATCGATAACGATCCCTGCCGCTACGGATTCATCAAGCGATACTCACCCTCGACAAGCCTTCTGCGGGTGATCTCGCTTGTCGCTCTCCTGGAGGGATCTTTGGAGGCCCTCCTCTGGTTTGAGAGGGTCCCATCGAAGAGCAACCCGGCCGACCTGCCATCCCGGGCCGAGATTGCCGAAGCCTGCGCGCGCTTCAAACTGGAGAACAAAGGTGACATAGCTTTGACATCCACGATGAAAGACTTTCTTTGGGCCCGAGACTACGAGCCTGTGCTTGCTCGTGCGATCCTTGAGTCTGCAAGACTGGAGGCAGATTGGACTGAAGAAGTGTTGCAGTGAACGCGTTCGCATCCTCTGCTCGCTTGGGGCAGGGGGAAGATGGTTGCTCGATCGGCTGCTTTCGCCGAAGGGCTGTGCTCGCCCAGACTCGCCATCTCCCCGGTGGCTTTACCCCCGAGCTTGGAAGAAGAAAAAAGAGAGGACCGAGCGTTGCAGCATTTCTCACATGTTACATATCACGATTCGCTCAAATACTCTTTGATTGGGAATGGAAAAATTTCCCCCTCTTAATTTTTACTTGTTTCTATATTCTGGATCCCACATATCTTTCGGGAATAGACACTGCAAGGAGGCCAGAGAAACGATCCACGGAGCGAAGCGAAGTAATGTTTATCCTGGCCTAGCGAAGCTGAAAGCGAAGCGAACTTGCAGTTGTCTTGTTTAAATCTATTTCACACTGAGCTCTTGTACTCAGGGCCATGACACGATCCTTCTCTTTGATGCTGATTTTGCACCCATGATTTTTCCTGCATGTGTTTCAGAAAGCGAGATTTTTGAATTCTTGTCCGCGCCGGTGGAGGGCTCAATCGCTTGAGCTGAGGAAAATTTTTCAACCTCCCACCCGCCCGACTTTTGATTCAATACGGTTTTTGGGAGACCGGGGGGGAAGATGGTTGCTCGATCGGCTGCTTTCGCCGAAGGGCTGTGCTCGCCCAGACTCGCCATCTCCCCGGTGGCTTTACCCCCGAGCTTGGAAGAAGAAAAAAGAGAGGATCGAGCGTTGCAGCATTTCTCACATGTTACATATCACGATTCGCTCAAATACTCTTTGATTGGGAATGGAAAAATTTTCCCTCTTAATTTTTACTTGTTTCTATATTCTGGATCCCACATATCTTTCGGGAATAGACACTGCAAGGAGGCCAGAGAAACAGCGCAGATGTCACGCAATTTGCTTCGGCCAAGGTCCTGTGACCTTCGGGGTTGATGGTGAAACCCCCGCGGGAGATGCTCAGTCCCAACCATGACCCAGAGCCCTGGTTCTGGGAGGTTGGGACTCGGACTTAAGATTTTA